ATTATAAGTAGGAATTGATTCAATGGCACACATCAACAGTCCCACCTCTGCCATTTATAGGCTGTGTAACTTTGGGTAAATCAAAAACATTACATGGCTTTGTTTCACAGACTTAAAACCCAATAGCAACTTTATTCTCTTCCATTTAATGATGCAATGTAATCACAGTGTCAAGTTTGTAGCCTTAAAATGATTTCCACAGGAACCAACTAGTGTCAATAGAGTATTAGGATTTCTTTATAATACCAGTCAAAGCTAAGAGATTGGCTTTCAAAGCTAAACATACACTAAAAGCATGCATCTCTAATACACCAAAAGGTGCACACCAAAATGTACTTGAAAACTGAATTGCTCCTCGTAGGTTGCCTGCTGTCTCTCCTGCTGCAACTAGTATCAGAGCCACAGTCACTTGTTTTCCTTAAGGGCAGCAACTGAATTTCCAAGGTTAACTTAAGGCTGTAAAATGACATAAAAACAAAACAAAAAAAAAAAAAAATCAAAACTATGTTTTGGTGTGTATGTATGCGGCAGGAAAAAAATAGCAAATATAATCAAGACTGTGTGTGTGTATGTGTATGTGAGAGAGAGAAAGAAAGAGAGACAGAGAGAAAGAGGGAAGGAGGAGGATAGAAGAAGAAAGGAAAGGGGAAAAAGGAGGGAGTAAGAGAAGGTGAGGGGGAAAGAGAGAAAGAAACCAGAAAAACCACATGAGAGTACACTTCCATGTTTGGTTGTCAAGCCTTCCAGGTAACAGCTACAAGGAAAGCATCGACATTTTATGAATCAGGGTCTAGTACTCAATTCTAGCTCTGCTACTGACTTAATATATAACCTAGGCAAGTGATGTAATCTCTTTATGCTTCTACTCAAAGGGTACCTGGACTGGATTCTACTCAAAAAGTAATTTACACTTCTTTGCACTTTCAGAAAGGTCAAAAAGGTAGCCAACTCTTTCCACAAATTTTCTATTCCTATAAAACTAACAAACTGTTCTCAAATCTACATGTAATTCTTATTGCCAAAACATATACAGATTTACAAAAAGCTATACATGTGTCAAAAGGAGCTCTGGGTGTATAGTGGGTAAGGCATTTGGACACTAACCTGACAGTGGTTCAAACCCACCAGCTGCTCTGAGGGAGGAAGATAAGGCAATCTACTTCCAGAAAGATTTACAGCTTTGGAAACCAATGAGGGCCGCTATGAGTCAGAATTATTCGATGGCAGTGGATTTGGTTTTTTGGTTTTATAAAAAGAAATTGATAGCAGGTATCTTGCTTTGATTTGGGGGTTTTCTTACCCACCAAACCGAATATTCACTGTACAGAAGTTCTTGACCAGGACTGATGGATTCTGCCAGCAGCTTTTCTTTCCACAAAGTTGTAAGTCTTTTCTTTCCTATTGGAAGCCTGCTAGCTCAATTTCAATTTCAAAAAAAGGGCTGGATGGAGGGTCAGAGATGAACTCAGTAAATGGCTGAGGGGCAGAGTTAAATCAGTCATGTTAAGATTAAGCAACAGTTGACCTTCGAAATTTCTTCCTCCTCTTCTAGCCATTTGCTTCTTCTGGAATCAAAATGGTCTGCCTACATGCACATAAAATAACTGCTCAAATCATATTGAATTTTTATTATTTTGAACACATAAAATACAATGAACATTTTGAAAAGTAAAAAAAGTTGCCTTATGTTTTAAGATTATATTATATCTGCAAACACGCTATCATTGAATGAGTAAGGGATGAATTAAGTGACCTTCCAGTCTCTTCCAAAACTGAAGATTCTATGATTACAAATTAGACTATTTAAGGATTTCCAAAGCTGTAAATCTTTATGCATAGAAGCAGATTTCCCTCAGAGCAGCTGGTGGGTTTGAACCACTGACGTTTTGGTTAGTAGCCAAATGCCTGAACCATTACACCACCAGAGATCCATTATCAGAAAGACAAGCCCACATTAAAAAATGTCAAAAGTGTATACTGCAGAAAATATTAAAAAGAATATTTATTTGACAAGTATTCTTTCTTAATCATATACTTCTGATATAAATTACTGACAATTTACCTAAGAGAAATTTAATAAGGGAAAAACACTCATTATCAAAATATTATTTTTAAGTAAGCACATATTGAAAGGCAGGAATATAGGTATAGCAATGCTCCTAAGCTTTATTTAGTAAATGATTTGTCACACTAAAACAATATCCATTATTTTTTAGGTTCTTTTTTTAGTTTCTTGTTTTCTTCATAAATTTGAAAATGAGTACTATGCTAACTAAAAAAAAAAAAAATAAACTCACTGCCATTGAGTCCATTCCCATTCATAGTGACTATGAATGCCATTAGGTTTCCGAGGCTGTAAATCTTTACAGAAGTAGATTGTCGCATCTTCCTTCCTCAGAGCAGCTGGTGGGTTTGAACCTCTGGCCTTCTGGTTAGCAGCCAAATGCCTTATCCACTATGCCATATATAAAGATGCACTGTTGTTCTTGATGTTATGTGCCTTCAAGCCAGACCCAACTCAGCGACCCCTCCTTGGGTTTCCAAGGCAGTATCACTATGGAAGTAGATTGTCCAAACTTCCTTCCAAGAAAGATGCATTAGAGATTAAATTATAAAACACTTGGTTTGTGGAAGGCTGCAGTCTATAGTAGGAGCCCTAACTCCATTTTGAGTCTTGACTTAAGTTCAGACACAATTTGAATTCTTTCTGACCATTAAACCAGAAATGCAGCTATGCTTAGACAAAGCCAGGGCAAGTCCAGGGAAGGGCAGTTTGCCCTCAGGAAGAGAATGATTGAAAGGAGATTAACTATTATGATGTTCACACAAAGAAGTAGGGATTTAACTTGCCTGGGCATATCCTTAATGGTTTACCAAAAATAGCCACATTATTTAATTTGAGTTAAAAGTTGGGGTCCAGGTAACTACGACATAAGGCTGCATGGTCATGAGTAGTCATATCCCAACAACCACCCACCAACACATAGCCAGGTTGTCAAAGCCACAGAAACAATCCTGTAAACTATTTGATGTATATAACCCAATAATGGTCCCTTACCTACTTCCGTAGTCCTCTCTATGACACTGATGGATTGAACTGCCACCATTCATGATTCTGTGGTAATTTCTTTTGTTCTCTGTTGTGTATATATGAAAGCCCTGGCTATGAGTCAACATACTCCTTCAGCTTCATGCTGATGGTTTCCCTCATCCGGATGATTGTTTTATTTTTGTCCTGTTTAAGGATTAATAAAAGGAACACTACAGAATTTATTTGAAATGAGGTCTTTTTCCCATAGCACAAAGGTCACATTCATTATTGCAGGGGTCGGGGAGAATGACCTATTGCCATTGAGTTGATTCTGACTCATAGCGACGCTACAGGTCAGAGTAGAACTGCTTAAAAGGATTTCCAAAGCTATAAATCTTTATGGAAGCAGACTTCCCTCAAAGCAGCTGGTGGGTTTGAACCACTGACCTTTTGGTTAGTAGCCAAATGCCTGAACCATCATCAGAACAAATTATATTAGCCATATCTCCAATCAGCCTTTTAGACTGTGACAAGCCATCCTATGGTAATTGAAGTCTTTGCTATTCATGGAGGGGCTGAAGACTACATCTGCCTGGGAACTGATTCTAATAAAGTGACTCTGTTGAGTGGGGGCTGGCTATGCCTGAAAGATTACTGACAGTTATCAGTGTTATCAGCCTGACTCTGGGGACAAGAGAGGGATTGGAGATTGAGTTGAACACTTGGAAAATGATTCAATCAATCATGCTTATCATGAAACCTCAACAAAAATTCTGGACACTGACCCTCAGGTGAGCTTCCTGACTGGTGATAGGTATCTATGCATGGGAGGATCATGTATCTTGAGACATGAAAGCTCTGCACTTGGGACGCTCCTAGACTTCACCCTATGTGTCTCTTCATTTGCCTTCTTTTTGCTATAATAAAACTGCAATCATGTAGTACACTTTGTAGTGAATTATCAAATCTGCAAGGGTAGGGAGAACTTAACCACTGATGTCCTGAGAAGGCAGTGGAACCCCCAATCTGTACCAACTGCTCAGAAGTGAGGGGGTTTGGGAGAATCCTGAACTCGCTGCTTTGTCTGAAGGCTGAAGTCTTGGGCAGACTTGGCAGTCAGACTGTGCCCTTTAACTTGTAAGATCTGACCTAGCTCCTGGTGATTAGGGCCTGAAGAAGAATCACATTTGCAGCTGGTGCCAGAGAGGATACTTAGAGTTGATATGGGAAAGGATAAGCAGATATCATACATTCATAAACATGTATGTGGTATTTCTGTAACTAATGGCATCATAGATATTTTAACATAAGCACATACTATTTCCAGCCATAATAGTAAATTTCTTTCCTAAAGGTAAGCCAGCACAGTATCAACTCCATAATCCTGACCCTTTAATATCATGTGATAATCAGCTACATTAACCAAATAGGAATAGGAGTGTTAACTCATTTAACTATTACATTTTTTTCCATAGTAGAGTCATCATTATTATAGTTCTGTGTATTTAAGATTACTCATTTATGAACTTATTTTCATTGACAACAACTATGAATATACTTTATTCCGCTAGAATAAACTTTAATTCTAGCATTTTGTTAAACAGTATTTGAATGGATTCAGACCCTTACTTATTTGACTGCTTGATCCTCATAAAGAGACAAGCAGACATCATAAAAAAACATAGCAAAGGAATCAAATCCCATTGAAGGATAAGTTATATTACAAAAATATATTTGAAGTTAAAGAAAACTTGGAACCCATTTTCCCATAGAACCAATGTTATGAATGACAGATTTCTAGTTTGTAAAATTTGGTATGAACCTTAATGTAGTTGTACTAAAGAACTGTTTAGAACTATTTATCATAGGCATCCGGGGGCCATCTGGGAATGAGGGTGGTAAAGGGACAGCATTTACTATTATTGTTATTAGCAGCAGGAGTAATAATATCAACTATTCACTTACTGACTGAGAGTGATGGACTCTGTGACATGGTCAGGTTGAGCTGAAGCTACAGTTTCCCTATGCTATCTCTTCTAACACACATTTCCCCATTTTCAGTTTTAAATTTTTTTTTATTTTCTTTTGTCTCCCCAAGAGGTAAGTAAACCAATCAGAAAGTTTCTGTGACTCCGTGATAACATTGAAGCTTGGTCACATACAGGTAGACTCTTCAGAAAAGCAGGGTTCTCTATATTCAAAGGCTGCTTTTCTTTCAGCCTCCAGATTGGCTTATGAATAAAAATAGCTCTTATCATTTTATTTTACACTCATGACAGAAATTACAAGTCAGTTCTTGATAATCTCTTTAGATTTCTACTCTGTGTCCCCAACTCTTTTGGTATTCAAGGAAATTCCATTTTTCACAAATTTTTTGAGACTGACAAGCCAACTTCAATATGGCGGAGGTTGTCAGTTAATGGAGGACAGACACTGCAAAAACTTTTTTTTTTTTTTTTTAAGCACACTGGAATTAACTATATATCACTCAGAAAACATCAGGAATAATAGGCTTTGTCCTTCATTGTTTTGACTTTTCTGTTTATTTCTTCCATTGAATTAATACTCTGGTAGCATAGTGCCTAAGGCACTTGACTGCTCACCAGAAGGCTGGCGGGTTTGAACCAGCCATTTCTCAGAAGGAAGGTTGGGCAATCCTACTTCCATAGTGATACCACTTCGGAAACCCAAGGAGGGGTCGCTATAAGTCAGGGCCGACTCGATGGCAAATAACAACAACAACAACAACATTCACTTATTGAGCACCCACTGTGTGCTAGGTATTGTGCAAAATGCTTTACAGATTTTATTCCCATTTAATTTTCATAACAACTGTATGAAACAGATACTATTATTATCATTATAATGGATTGCATTATGCTCCCCCAAAATATGTGCTGTAAATCCTAATCCATATATCCCTGGTTATAATCCTATTTGGGACTGATTTTCTTTGTTATGTTAATGAGGCAGGGTTAGTGTATGATGTGTTTTGAGTCAATCCCTTTTGAAATAGAAAACAGATTAAACAAGTAAGTGAGCAAGTAGAGATGGAGGTAGATTAAGGCCAAGCTCATGGAGATCTCCAAGGAACCAGGAAACAAGATGAAAAGACAAGGACCTTCCCCCAGAGCTGACAGAGAGAGAAAGCCTCCCCTTGCAGCCGGTGCCCTGAATATGGACTTCTAGCCTCCTAAACCATGAGTAAATAAATTTCTATTTGCTAAAGCCATCCATTTGTAGTGTTTCTGCTATAGAAGCACTAGATAATGAAAACAAGTCAATTTATAGGTTAAAAAAATTCAGGCTTTGAAAAATTAAGTGACTTGCCCAATGTCACACAGCTGTAAAGTGGTAGAGTGTTAGAATTCAAACACAATGCATGTGCCTTTCAAAGTCCATGCTGTTTAGTACTTTACTATACTGTCAAGCTTCAAAATATCTCTCAACCTTTCCTCAGCCAAAAATTCCTAAACATTCAATGACCCTAGACACAGATTAAAAGAAATCATTCTGATCTAATGTACACTAGATGTGAATGACTCAATCCTGCCAGAAGTATTTTCATTTTTTAAAAAAGAAGCAACCCTGGTGGCATGGTGGTAAAGCACTCGGTTGCTAATCAGAAAATCAGCAGTTCATATCTTCACAGGAGAAAGATGAGGCAGCTTGCTTCTGCAAAGATTTACAGCCTTGGAAACCCTATGGGGTAATTCTACTTTGTCCTGTAGGGTCACTATGAGTAGCAATCAACTCCACAGCAACAGGTTAGGTAGTTTCTCTAGGTGGCCCAAATGGTTAAGCACTCAGGTACTAAATAAAAGGTTGGTGGTTCAAATTCACTCAGAGGCACCTAGGAAAAAAGGCCTCCTATGGATGAGATCTACTGTGATCTACTTCCAAAAGATCACAGCCATTAAAAACCCTATGGAGCACAGCTTACTCTCAAACATACAGGGTCACTATGAGTCAGAATCAACTTGAAAGCAATGGGTTTTTATATTAGGTAGTGAAAACAGAAGTAAAAAGAACAGCTCGCAATAGGAAGATCAGCCCTACTGAAGAGTGTATCTATACTTGCTTGGCTGGCAACTTTTCTTTTTAGAACTATTTCTACTACACTCAATGCGATTATAATAGAGTCATCAACCATGTGACTTTTTTTCTCCACACTCTCTGGTGGTCACATGCACCAAGCAGGACCAATGATGGTTTTTCTGGAAAGTGATAATCTCACTGGGGAAATCAACAGTTTCTTTGAAATCTGGAACTACAAAGATGATATAAATCTGGATATATGCATTCCATGGAGAATAAAATCAACAGGGAAAAAAAGCAAAACCAAAATATGGAAAGACAGACTGTGGTGATTAGTAACGGTTGAACCCGTGGCTCCCACCATGACTGAGTCTAGGAAGTCACCTCTTGGTCTCCTAATTGAGCCAATGTATTTCCTATTTTGATTGATTTGTGTTAAGATTCTGACACCATCACCCAAAAGAGTCCTGACTAACACAGGTTTTTGAAAGTTTGCTCTTAAAGACATCTTCCCTAGGAATTGTTTTTATAATTTCATAATAGATAATTGATTTTATCCATTTTAAAGGGATGTGATACAAACAAGAGGGAAAATGAAGAAAGTCAATCTCAATTTCAGATCAGGGATGATTAGTGAAAAGTAAATACAGGGATAGAGAAAAAGACTGGGGCAGCTGAAGACAGAATAGATAAACATATTTTCCTAATTAAAATACTTGTTGTTGTTGTTATTTGCTGTCGAGTCGACCCCGACTCATAGCGACCCCTCCTTGGGTTACCGAGGCAGTTATCACTACGGAAGTAGGATTGCCCAACCTTCCTTCCGAGGAGTGGCTGGTGGGTTTGAACCGCCAGCCTCCTGGTGAGCAGTCAAGTGCCTTAGGCACTATGCTACCAGAGCTCCTAATTAAAATACTTATGTACAAAAAATCTGGAATTAGCATGATTCTCATCCATAAGCTCCTATTTCTAGTTATAATATTGAGAGAAAATCACAATGTTACAATATAAAACTTCAGATGATTAATAAAAACTAATTAACAGCATGTAAAATGTAGAAATTACTTACTATAAATTAAATATAATCCAGTTAATGTCTGTACATTTGTTTGCCTAATCTGGCTTTTAAAAATGCACAATTTTATATGATTTATATACTCTTTTCAATTTTTTCTTTCCCAACTTGTATTCTATAGCTTTAATCATTTGGAGAGTAAAAATGTAGCTATCTCAAAATTTTACAGACCTTAAGGTTTGTATTTTCATTTTCATCTTTTTCTAGAGTAGCACTTTACCTAAAGTATTAGTTGCTTTTCTTCTTTAGTATTTCAGGAACAAAAATTAAAATAAAAAAACAAAGATCAAAATAAAAAGTAATCCTAACAATGTAATAGTGATATATTATGAGGCTACCTCAAGAAGATTTAGCACTTATACTGAAGAAAAAAAAATTTTTGAATTGTGGTTGTAGCCAAACTGGCCTAAGAAAAAACGACTCAAAGTGTAGCAGTAGGGACAGCTTCAGGCATAGTGGATTCAGATCTCAAAATATATCATCAGGCTTCAGTTTCCTCCTCTTAACCTCTCCATTTCACTTTCTAATGTGTTAGCCTCCAACTCAATATCCATGTGTTCTGTGAGATTACAATGCTTAAAGCTAATGCAGCCATCTTTCAGTCAAAAGTCTACTGATATATACTCATCCAATTTGAACCAATCACTGTATCCAAGGAGATATAATGTGCTGATAGCACAGGTATAGGTCACATAACCATCTCTGAGTTGGTGCCTATGGCCTCACACTAAGAGTAAGGAAGGCATGAATTCTTCAAAGGAAAACCATTGTTTTTCACACAACTGGGAATACATGTCCAATACAAATAACATCTTTTCATAACAAAGACAACATTAACAAACAATATAGAATATCCACAAAAAAATGCTTTAAGGTTTTTATTTTGTTCTAAATAGGACCAATTTCTTATCAATAGTATTTTTTTTACATTTTTATTGTTTCCTTCTGATACCGCTAAAGTTTATATTTTTTCTCTCTCAAATTCATTTGATAACATTAATGAAAATTCAGGGTTTTGACATCTATGGCTATCAAAAAGAAAGGATATATTTCCAAATAGCCAGAAATTGTTTAAGGCCAATTTTTCCCAAAAGTAACTACTAACAGCAGACGCCAATTCTGGTCACCTTAAGCAAAACAGGATTTGGGTAATACACAAAATCTATAAAGCTGAATACAGACTTGGGAGACAAATTGGGACTAAAAAAGGCTTGTTGTTGTTGTTGTTATGTGAGAAAAGCAACCAAAACCATGCTTAGGAAAAGTCTAGTTAGGAAGAACCTGCCAAGAATGCTGGTACTACCACTACTGCTGGCACTAATGCAGCCACTGGAGCAGCCATTATAGGAACGAATTTCAAACTCGCCCCAGTTTTTTACATCCATTTTTCCAGATAGAAAGTTTCATGCAGAAGTTTCCAACTGGTTGAGACTAGGTCATGTGCCCAAACTCTAGTTGCCACAAGAGAAGAGACAGAAATCTGCTCCACTTTGACTTCCACAGTGGGATAGGACCTACAGCATTTAGAATAAATCTTCACGAATCATGAGCCCACAATAAATGCAACTTATTAACTCTCATAAAAGCAAAGTTTAAGTAATTAAGTGGTGAACAGTGATACTATTGATTGATAACATCATGTTCATTGGAAACAGACACATGAAAGATACTTCCAAAATCATACACTTAGTGGTAAAATACAGGTGAAAACTGATTTCTCTAAATCAACCCTTTGACTCTAATTCTAGCAGAAAGAATTCTTTAAAAATAAAATCCATCCCCCAAATTTATTCTTCCCATTGAACATACTTGACTTGAAGTCAAGTGAGCTTAACAAGGCAGTAACAATGAACCTTGGAGGGAATCAAAATTTGAGTCTACAGGGGATGATGGCAGGGCATGGACAAGTTACTTCCCTCTCCATTATAAGTGGTAATTGGATTAAAAAAAGTCAATCACTTACTGCAAAGTAAGTACAATATTCATCTGGTTAGTTCCCATCACAGCTGTTGGAAGTTAACCGAGCCAACTTTCTGTTCCAAGTTGACAGAATGATGTGTTAACTTACCCCTAAAGATTCCTGTCCAGGCTATGGATCTCTCTCTCTCTTTCTATATATATAGAAGGAACAAGTTGTTACTTGGCTTCTATATTATAAAACTGCTTCTGCAACTGCGGGATAAAGACCTTTATTACTCTATTAGAATTCTATCCAAGATACAGAACTATAATTAAAAAAAAAAAAAGTATGGTATACAAAGGAAATATTTAAGAGGAAAATTTTTGCTTACAACAAGCTGTTTTTGTTTTAATTAAAGTACAAGTACTTGGAATCCAGCAATTACATTTATGAAAATGCTTTGTTTAAAAAAAAAAAAAAAAGGCAGAATTTAATTACTACAATATGCTTTCCGAACTCAGTTAAATACAAACTATTTATTTCCACATTTCTGTTGTGTGTGTGAATGCTAAGAATATATTTACATGTAAATGTTCATACATGAAATGATTAAGAAATCATTTAATCTACTTTACAGTGGTAGCCAAAACTTTGTCATTCTTCTTTGTCATATCCGTATACAGATAGGTCATTGGGAATTTTTTTTTTTTTTTACAACAATAAAGTAGCAATGGAAATCATATAAAGGTTACTTTGGTATTCAACTCTAACACTATTTAAAAATCTATGAAATGTGGTTGCTATCTCTATACATATCTGTAACACTGAATTGTATTTAAATACACACATTGTTTTGGCTATAGACGAGAATTCTATAAAACACTGTCACTGTCATCCAGTCTTTCATATATCACTACTCTATCCTGTATTTATAGATATACTTTAACCTTTCAAATAGTTTCTAATTGTAAAAGTTTTGTTACATTTTATTTATTGAAGCATTAGGCCCTGAGAAGTATCTAAGGGTTTCATATATTTAAGAAAACAGGATTTATGAGGTTTCTTTGGATATATGTACTCTTAAACTGTTTTTATAGTGTTCTTTAAAAAAAAAAGAAACGAACAAATTATTTATGTGATAAATATAATTTTTCAGCTTAAGGATATACATAGAATGGTCCTCATCAAATATGTGATTTGTGTTCAAGATGCTATAAGAAACAACATACTCAACTTTCCAATAAAAAAAAGTTTGAAATTATTACTTTGGGAGCTCTGGTGGCATAGTGCCTAAGGCATTAGACTGTTAACCAGAGGCTGGCGGTTCAAACCCATCAGCCACTCCTCGGAAGGAAGGTTGGGCAATCTACTTCCGTAGTGCTACCTCAGAAACCCAAGGAGAGGTCGCTATGAGTTGGATCCAACTTGACAGCAGTGACAGCCAGCCAGTTTTCTTAAAAGCAAAAGGCTGGACAATAAGAAACTTTACATGCTGTGCAGCTTTTATATACTATTGGCTAATATGGGGAAACTCATACTTTTACATCTATTTGCAACTTACACTGCCAAGGAGAAAAGCTCTGATAACGTCAAAGATACAACTGATCTACCGAGCTAGGGAAAGGTAAAACTGTTCTTCATTTATTCAATCTACTATTCCTTCATTTATTCAATCTACTTTCCTTCAACAAATACTTACTTAGTGCCTCACAAGTATCAAACCCTATGACCGATGGGATTACTATTCTTAAGAAACTAACATTAAAGGGCATAGGAAGAAATATGAAACAAATTATTACAAGTGTGATGAGTGCCATGATGAGGAACCATAAAGTAACACTCAGTTAGGCCAGGGAAAAACACCCATAAGAGATGGCTTTGAGTTGGGAAAGAAAGAGTTTTCCAGATCCAGGAAAGAATAGAACTTGTGACATTTCAGAGAAGTATATACAGAAGACCAATTAACACTACTATTATTCAAATTTATACATCAATCACTAAAGCCAAAGATAAAAAACTGAAGACTTTTACCAACTTCTATGGTCTGAAATTGACAAAACATGCAATCAAGATGTATTGGTTATTACTGGTGATCAGAAGGCAAAAGCTAGAAACAAAGAAGAATCATAGGTAGTTGGAAAATATGGCATTGATGACAGATTTCAAAGGGTGGCTTGAGAAGACAAAGTTAAGTATTAATGAAATGTGTAAAGATCTGGAGTTAGAAAACAAAAGGTAAAGAACACACTTGGCATTTCTCAAGCTTCAAGAACTGAAGAAAAAATTGAAGCCTCGAGCTATACCACTGAATGATTCTATGGGCAAGTCATTGAACGATGCAGGAAGCATCAAAAGATGAAAGGAATACACAGTCACTGTACCAGAAAGAATTGGTTGACATTAAACTATTTCAAGAGGCAGCACTGAAGGAACTGGTGAAAAAGAAGGCTCAAGGAATTGATGGAATACCCACTGAGATGTTTCAACAAACGGATGCAGCAATGAAGGCTCTTACTTGTCTACGCCAAGAAATTTGGAAGAGAGGTGCCTGGCCAACTGACTGAAAAGAAATACGTATCTGTAACTATTCCAAAGAAAGGTGATCCAACAGAATGTGGAGATTATCAAACAATATCATTAATATCACATACAAGTAAAATTTGCTGAACATAATTTAAAAATGGTTGCAGCAGTATATTGACAGTGAACTTCCAGAAATGCAAGCTGCATTCAGAAGAGGACGTGGAACAAGGGATTTCATTGCTGATGTCAGATGGATTGTGGCTGAAAGCAAAGAATACCAGAAAGATATTTACCTGTGTTTTATTGACTAGGCAAAGGCATTCACTGTATGGATCA